ATTGCATATCATATCATGTGTAGTGTAGTGGATTCGATAGTGCTCCAATCTGAAATAACTTTTGGATAAATGTGAACATTACTCATGATTACCAACGGGATCTGTTCCTTTGTTCGCACCAAGAGGTTGAACATCCGCCATGATGCATAAACTTGTGAGTATTTTTTATCTCGAATATTGCATCACTTCATCCTCATTGCTAATTTGGATTGATGAGGATTCTTGAGTTTGAAATAGACAATTCATTGCTGATATATATAGGGTTCTATAAGTTCCTGTAAGGTTCATATGTTTCAATGATTGAAGGTTAAAAATGACTGGCACAATTTTACACATAACTTTGTATCTTGTTAGTTGTTTGTATGAGGTTTCCAATCACGATACTCAATTATATTTCATTGCTCATTCACGAGCCTGAGAAGGTATGATATATGTGTAGAAATCAACGAATATAATCGTATATGATATCGTGTGGAAAGACAGGAAACAGTGAGAGCAGCATTTATTAGCTGTAATAAGGAATCCCGCATCTGATTCAATGCGTTTTTTATGATCATTAATATGATTCAAAACGACTCCAAATTTACAAGTTTCAATGGTGAAATTCAGTGTTGATTACAATCGTATCTTACAGGTTGTTATAAGCAAAATATCTTCCAGGAATTCATACCGTCTAATGAGGAACCACAGATCCGATTACATTGAATCCTCATTGAATGTATGCGGAATGAAATATTTGAAAACCAATGAGATTGTATAAGACATTACTATCCCAATATGCAATGAATTTTATGAGTTTTCATAAGACAATTAATTTTCGAGAATTCCTGGAAGATGTCATGAATGTTCTTATTTCAGTATATTTCAGGATTTCGATAGGTTCATATAATCGATGAGTCTTTGTATCCGTAATCAAATTAGGAACGCACGATGTTCTTTGAACATAATAGGGATTCCCTTTCGTGCGCTCCAAGCGAAAATATATATATATATATATATATAGTAGAAGGCATGAATTTGAAAAATGTCTAGTTTTTCAGTAGATTTTTCATCGATGGGCCTTGTGAATATGTGGCAACATGCATTGTCCATAACACAAATTTTCATATTGACTTTACTGCTGACACAATGTTTTCTCATACACTAGTTTCAATTCCACCAACATTACAGATCTACCAATATTCAGCAATATTTATTGTTTCTAAAAGATGTGGACCTCATTAGTAGCTGGCTATGAAAACAGAGCAAGTGTAGAATGTTTTTAAATCCTTGCCACCTCCCTGTCGAATTCACAAATTTTTCATACGATAGCGAATACTAATCCAGGATACGAAAATTAGAAATGGTTGTGATATAAAATAAGTTGGTTTCAAATTTTTGTGGTTCTGATATCCTGGATTATTATTCGCCGCTGTATGAAAAAATTGTAAATTCTACAGGTATGTGACAAATATTATAAAACATTCTGCACCCGCTTTTTTTTCATAGCCACCTACTCATTAGGTCCACAGCTTTTATATTCAATAAATACTGCTGAATATTGCTGAATGTTTAATGTTGGTGAAAATTGAATCTAGTGTGTGACGAGACACTGTATCAGCAACAAGGCAAATATGAAAATTTATGATGTGGACAATGTTGCCAGATATTTACAAGTTCAATCGATGAAAAGTCTACTGAGAAACTAGAATTCATCAGAATGTTGGGCTAAGACTAGAAATATCTCATAAGTTGTATTTTTTCGAAAAGCGAAAAGCATCAATGTTTCAAATGAGGAAAAATATACGTGATGTTCCGTTTGAAAAAACATAACTTTGGATTGATTATATCTGAATAATAACAGCTTATTCTGGAATTCTGATTACGCCACTGGATTCTACGTGAAAAAATGTATGACAAACACTCTCGACTTTTTCGATGAATTGGAAGATGGTTGAGATACAAGAAGGGTCCCGAAATGCAGCATTTTCAATTTCGCCCTGTATCTCAAAAAGACAGCGGGCTACAAAAACTTGGTTAAGGGTATCGTGAGTTTCACTAAAAAGAAGCCCACGTTTGCGAAAATGGAAAATCTCTATTTTAGAAAATAAATGAGATACCTATCCCGTTATGACACAGGGTATTCACGAATATTTAGAACCCCTACTCAACTTTTTCATGTATTGTCAATTTTATTTATCCAAGAAACTTTCTTCAATACTCTTTCTTTAAATTTTCAAATTTTATATATGCCAATGAAAAAACTGACTATTTTTCTAAAAATTCAACTGTTTTTCTGTTGGTTTATACAGAAAAAATATGAGAGATCGTTCTTGGAAACAAAATCGAATGATACATGAAAAAATAAGCAGGGGTTCAGTACAAAATACTGAAGAACTGTCAATAGTAACTCTTTATGAATAGATATGTTGTACTCATTTCAAAGTAATCAATGCCACGCTGTTTCAATTAAGACTTCCAATCAGGAACTGATGATAAGTGTATATGCACAACAGAGTTATACATCAGGAATTGATCATGAATATACCTGCAGAACGCATTTCAATTTCATAAATGCCACTGTAGTACAATGAGAAACTCTGATCAGGAACTGATTATGAATGTATCTGCAGAACACAGTTTATACTCATAGAGTTAATATGAAATTTCTATGAGGAACTGATTATGAAAGTATCTGCAATAAACATTTCAAACTCATAAATGCCACTGCATTCCGATAAGGAGTTCTGATCAGGAACTGATTATAAATCTATCTGCAAATCAGAGTTCATATGGAATTGCTATGATGAACCCATTATGAATGCATGTATCTACAATACACATTTTGAACTCATAAATACCACGGTATTTTAGTGATAAATTCCGATTAGTGACTGATTATGAAATGTATCTGCAAAACAGAATTCATACTCGTAGATTTCATATGACTGTGCTATAATAAGCTATCTATGAATGTATCTGCAATACACACTTTGAACTCATAAATGCCAAGGTATTTGAAAAAAATCCCGATTAGGGACTAATTATAATTAATGTATCTGCAAAACAGCGTTTATTGTCATACAAATTGCTATTAGGAACTGATTATAAATGTATCTGTGAAACACAGATTATACTCATAGAGTACGTGAAAAACTGCCAATAGGAACTCATTATGATTGTTCCTGTGAAACACATTTCAAACTGATAAATGCCACGGTAATTCAATGAGAAATTCCAATTAGGAACTGATGATAAGTGTATCTGCAAAACAGAGTTATACTCTAAGTGTTCCTGAGGAATTGCTATTAGGTATTGATTATGAATGTACCAGCAGGATACATTTCAAACTCATAAATGCCACTGTGCTCCAATAAGGAATTCCGATTAGGAATTGATTATGGATGTTTCTGCAAGACAGAGTTTATACTAATAGAGTTCATACGGAATTGATATAAGAAACTCATTCTGGATGTATCTGCAACACACATTTCAAACTCATAAATGCCACGGTATTTCAATGAGAAATTATAATAAGCAACTGATTGTGAATGTATCTGCAGAACAGTTTATACTCAAAAATTCCCATTATAAATGTATCTGCAATACACATTTTCAACTCATGAATGCCACGGTATTTCAATGAGAAATTCCAATCAGGAACTGATTATACATGTATCAGCAGAATTGCTATTAAGAACTGATTATAAATGTATCTGTGAAACACAGCTGATACTTATTGAGTACATGAAGAAATGTCAATAGAAACCCATCATGAATGTACCTGGCAAACACATTTCGAACTGATAAATGCTACGGTGTTCCAATGGGGAATTCCAATTAGGAACTGATGATGATTGCTATAAGGGACTCATTATGAATGTATCTGCAATACACATTTCAAACTCATAAAAGCCACGTTAATTCAATAAGAAATTGCAATTAGGGACTGATTTCAAATGTAACTGCAAAACAGAGTTCATACTCATAGAGTTGCTATTAGAAACTCATCATGAATGTATATGCAGAACACATTCCATTCTCATGAATGCCACAGTGTTTCAATGAGGAATTGCCATCAGAATCTGATTATAAATGTATCTGTAAAACATAGTTCATACTCAAAGACTTCGTTGGAAATTGCTATTAGGAACCGGTCATGAATGTACATGCAGAACACATTTCAAAATCATGAATTACGATGTTTTAATAAGGAATTGCCATTTAGAACCGATTATGAATGTATCTGTGAATTACAGTTCAAACTCATCGACTCCATTGAGGATTGCCATTAGGAACTGATTATAAATGTAACTGCAGAATAAATTTCGAGCTTATAAATTACTGTTTCACTATCCAACTTGACTCTGATATATTCTCATATGTAAATAACCAGGAATTGCTAGTAGGAACTGATTATGAATATATCTGCGAAAAACAGTTCATACTTATAAGAAAAAGGGATAGAATCGCCATTAGAAACTGATTATATATGTATCTGCAAAATACATAGGATTATACGGAATTACTGTTTCACTATCCAACTTCATTCTCATTAATTCTCATATATATTTTTTTATAAGTTTCTATGAGACATTTTTGGCAGGGATGGCAGTCCTGGCAAGATTAACCCGTCGAGTTGAGGCTTCGCACCACTTCGTGGTCACTTGGTGGGGACCTGCAGAACATCTCTTTCCAAAGACTCATTCATCCAACGAACAGCGAGGCTCTGGAACACATTACCAAGGGACGTGTTCTCCGACGCATATAACCTCCATGAATTCAAAAAGAACACCAATTCCTACCTTATTTGCCTTGGTTCTCACGATGTTCTCTGAACATTACAGGATATCCCTTTTCGAGGGAACCAGAACATAAAAAAACCTACAGAACAACCCTGATGAATTGTTTTCCAGATAAAATACGGTTTTGTCAAAATACCGTTCCATCAAAATATGATTCTGATGAAATACTATTCTGATGGAATACGGTTATGATGAATTACCATTCCTATGAAATACTTGCCTGTCTTGGCCGTCTTTTCCCTCCTCCTGCTCCTCGGCCTCGTTCTCGCTCAGCGCCTCCGTCGAGGAGTCGAGCTGGTTGCGGGGGTGGCGGGAATCCGGGGCAGGGTCGCGCTCGGACAGGGAGGTCGGGTCGACGCTGGACCGCTCCGAGACGGCGGGACTGGTGCTGTCGGGACTCAGCTGGACGGCGTGGGGAGGCGGGACGGCCAGATGGGGGTGGTGGGAAGGGAGGCCTGCAACAAGAGAGAATTCGTTGAATGATCGGTGAGTGATGAGGTGATGTCCTGGATATCCAGTGTGTTACAATTCGGCCCATCCCACCGCTGTACTTTCGTATTCCTACGGCGATTTGGAATTATTTTTTCTAACAATATACTACTCAAAATTATCTACTTTTTCGAACAGATTATACCTTTTCAACTTCAATTTCAGAATCGGTAAGTTATATTTAGGAAAATGTAAACTCGGTTCCAGAAATGGTTAACTCAATTTCAGAATCGGTGAGTTGAATTTCAGAAAATGTACATTCAATTTCAGAAATGGTAAGTTATATTTCAGAATTGGTTAGTTCAATACAATAGAAAGAATAGTTCAACCTAAAATGAATAATCCTGATTACACATTCACTATCGTGAATTGTATAAGTCACTGTATGAATCTTGGTTCATATTATGGATGATGAGCGTGCATAGTGGTAGTTCTGGATAATGCACCTGCACATTCAAGAGGAGATTTGCATGAAGGATGGATTTCAAGATGTTCTTATTATTTGCAGATTGACACCTTACAGCCCCCAATGTTGAACCCAATAATTGAACATATTATGGAATACCTTCAAGTCAGAAGTGAAAAGCTTCTTGCAAGAGCATCGCCAAAGGGTCATAGCCGGGGATCCAAACAGATTGCTTAACCAAATATAATTCAGACTGTGATGCCTTGAAGAATGTTTAGGTCATCCAATGAGAACATATACCTCAAAAGTGTTTGAATTCTTTCAAATCATGTGCCACGCCACTATCCTTCTGCGATTCGAATGGAAGACATGTCTGTAGGTATAGATTAATTGAAGATTAAGTATATGTTATTTAATGGTTTTCGAAAATTTGTCAAACAAATATAAGGATTCATTTTCTGAAATACAACTCACCATTTCTGAAATGAAATTCAGAAATTGAGTTTACCATTTCTGAAATCAAACTAACCAATTCTGAAATCGAGTTTAGACTCTCCGAAATACAACTTACCGATTCCGAAATTGAAGTTGAAAAGGTATAGAATTATTATTATTATTTATATAATGTAGATGGTCTTTGAATGAATTGATATAATATCAGTGCATGATAACCGCGATTTCTCGTATAGATTCTAGATCTAGAATTATGTTCAGATATTCTCATACGATTATTTTAGAGGAAGAATAAAATACCTTGATGTATTTCTTCATTACATTTCTCATGATGCATTCATCAAATTGCTATTTCACAAAATGATAACGAGAAAAACTTGCAACAAAGTTAGAAGATAACGATAACAAGGATCACTTTCAGGAGGTACAACTGCAACTACACAAAATACTGTTAACTATAACAGTTTAAACAATAAGATGAAAGTGATATCGAGGGAACTAAAAGAGACTAGGAAAGAGATTATTGGCTTTCGGCCCTCATCAGTACGGTGAAAGGAAGTGCAAAGGATGGGCAGCACTTGGTAAAAAACGCAACAATAAATAAACGGAGTCAACGAACAGAAGCCAGCCGCACATTTGTGGTTTCGGTCAGCAGACCCTGAGGTCTCAGGGAAACAGCTAACGTCAATTGATTCCAATAGAAAATAATATGTATCTTTCGAAATGACGTATAGACACCATTTTGGAATATGTTTTCGAATGGAATGAGGGGGTAGAGTCTTACCATCAGTATACCCTCCAGAATTTCAGACAAAAATTTGAAATACAAATCAGAATGGATGATGATAATTGAAATCTCATATATACTTGAACCATCAGGATCATTATGCCTAGATGGCTTTAACGAAATTGAAAAAAATATCTATCAACCTCAAGATGTGGCGAACAACTCTCTAGCGGAACTTGTTAGTCATAGAACGGCAACCCTTTGGACCTTCAAAGGTTCGAAACAATACGAATACCTATATACCTTCACTGCCTATTCTCCAAATTCCACGGATATAATAGTTATTCCCTTTCGTGCTCTACAGTGATTGAAACACTTTCATATTTTTTCTGTAGATTTTGTTGAATATGTTGAATCTGTATATCGCTATAATGGTGCTCATAAGAGAATTCGACCTACCTTCAAATCGCCGAGATGCTATACCAAGATTAGAAGCGTTAAGTGCATATTATTTGTATGAAGCAACCAAGAATAAATTATTAAGGGCGAAACAAGAAGACCAAATGCTGTCTGTAGGTTATAGAAACGAGGAGAGAAAATCCCAAAAAATTTGGAATAATGAAGAAGACCAACATAATTTTCTCTCTCCTTACACAGAAAACTAGTAAAATAACCTAGCTACCCCCAATCGCTGTGAAATTCATTTTGACGGATTCATCAGAATAGTATCATCATCAGGAAAGAAGGAGTTTTTTTAATTTATGGAATTATAAAAGATGAGTATTATGCAAAACGCAGAAAAACAATCTACTGGCTTGGATTATTATTTAATTATGGAAAAATAACTTTTAATTGGATACGTAATTCACTGAATGAAGAAGTAAATAAAATATTTCATAATATTCTCATTTCAGTTGTGATCACAATCGATATCGACATAAATTCGATTCGAATCACTAAAAAATTAGAGCAGATTATTTTATATTTACCCAACATCTAATCATCATCATATCGATAATTCATTTTATAATCTCTTATTTGTTTTAGCAACTGCATGAAGACTGTAAATGATTGATTTCTGTATATCTCAATTTGAAACCTGATAGGTAAGAACCTATATTTTTCATTTTTCGAAGATTCACATTTGGACCATGCATGAAAAGCAGGGACAGAATAATTATTATAATACATGGTGGAGGAGTATGCTCCTCTCAAGTATCTTGACAACATTATATGATAAAAGAATATCTTGTTCAATTTAGTATCATTTCGTTTATATTGACTCCCATGAAAAAATCTAAATGCCGAGTTATTGGGTTTGTGAAGAAAAGCCAGAAATTATTATTTTCGTCCTCTCTCTGTTGCTTCTTTTCCATTATCGTTACACTGAAAAAAAAAATGAGTGAATTTTCACTCAAACTTCACTCAATAATGTCTCAATTTCGGTCCACACCCGATTGAGTTGAAAATTCACTCTACTTGACTGAGTGAAATGGTAATTGAATGAGTGAATATAAGGGATCACAATTGAGTCAATGTTCCCAGTTCAGATTTGAATATTATTTCAGCTTTGTGATTTCTTGAGTGAGTTTCAACTCATTTTTGAGTGCTTAGAACATTTATTGAGTATGTATATGCCCCAGATAGCACGGGACGTCCCGAAGACGTCCATTTTAGGTCCATTTTTGGTCTGAACGTCCAGGACCTTTTATGGACGTTTTTAAGACGTCCATTATTGGACATACTCCGGACGTCCAGAAAAAGACGTCTTTAAAACGTCCAATTTACAGACTCTCACGGTATATCAGTTTAAATTGATATAAGTAGGTAGGTATATATAAATTTTGAAATTAGAATTATTGAATTGAATATGGACATGAATAATGTCAAAATATATATTATATATCAGCTGTATCAATATATTGAATTTCATTTTATTATTAATATTATGAATTTGAAATATTTATGATTTTAACTGATTTGTACCAACTTATATAGTTATGTTGAATCATATTCCTTCAATCACATAATACCTATACAGTTTGACCATTCTTAAACCCACACTGAAGTATTCATACAAGCCGCGCTTTTATAATAAGATTTGATTGAATCACTGAATATGTGAAGCAACCGTAGAACGCATGCGTGCTCAGCGTTGCCAGACTTACTATTTTAGCAGTAGATCTACTGTTTTTGTCTCCGTTCTACTGTTCAACTATTCAAGGCAATGGTCTGATTGGTCAAGTTTTGATATGACGTAACTACCCAATATGCAACAATGAAAAATTAATGGGACATCACAGTAAGAAGATGTATGATAAAAATATACTGCAACTATCATATTCAGTCTGATTAGTGAAAATTAGCTTTTATTTCCAATCTGGTTGCGGTTTTCACAAATTTTATTTTTTATTTCATTATTTTTTGTTATTCTTCGTTCGATTTTTGATAGGTATAGAGACCGAACATGATTTTTTTTCTTCGTTTATTATATAGGTGACTATGTTTTTTCATTTATGATAGCAATTGTGATGATTATCAAAATCTTCTGTTCAGTTTTGATGATCTACTGTTTTTCCCCCACCCATCTACTGCTCCGACAAATTTTCATCCGGCAACACTGTGCGTGTTACGTGTGAAACTGTGAAACGGAAACGTAGGAAGATGGCGTCCGTCAGTTGACCACTGCCGAGTGCCGATTAAACTGTGATTCAGGTCCAAGGACATTCTGAACTTTTCGGGTTATTATAGACTGTAAAAGCAGTGAATAAGTGAAATCTTTGCGGATATCATCTATCAACTGGTGAACTTCGATCTCGAGTTCCATCGAGATGTTTATTTGAAGGCAAGTATGGCTATCGACGCTATCGTTTTATTTTCATTCGCATGAAGATGCTTGAGTAGAACATCAAATCTGTAGTTGAAAACATTAGATACCTTTCTAAATAATTTGATCTCATGCAATGCTCTACCTTATCCTATTTCCATCATCTACCAAAGTTTATATTTTTGTATATAGTTAAAACATAATATAATTCGTGCAAGGTTCATAAAGGTTATATAGGTACCTACCTAAGAATCAGTATATGTATGGAATAAGTTCTCAATGAAATAAAAATAATGAAGTATTCCGCTATACTGACTACTACACGTTGAAAGTGGGTGTGTGTTTATGGTTCATGGTATTCACAGAAGATGTTATTGAATATTATTATTATTTACAGATCCAGTGAAGAAGACAACAGAAGGCTGCCAATCAGAAAAAGACATCATCGCGCCTGCGTACCTGGATGAATCACGCGACGTTTTTAGTGGTGCAGCTGCTGATATACGATATGGAAGAGTGAAATTGAAACAACTACCTGAATCTCTGTTCATAT